AGAGAGAGAAGAGAGAGAAGAGACAGGGAGAGAAGACGAGAGATAGTCCGACATGAACGTTACTCCGGTGGTGGAGATACCCGGCAATGACAACTACAGCATCAGCAACGGTCTCGACTGCGGCGGTGAGCCCCATCAATACGCGATATGGGAGCGTGTGACGATAGTGGTGATCGCCGTCATCCTCAGTCTCACCACGGTCGTCGGCAACATTATGGTCATGATATCATTCAAGATCGACAAGAATCTGCAGACGATCTCCAACTACTTCCTCTTCAGCCTGGCGGTGGCCGACTTCGCGATCGGCCTAATCTCCATGCCCCTCTTTACGATATACACGGTGCTTGGTTACTGGCCGCTCGGGCCCCTCGTGTGCGACACGTGGCTCGCCCTCGATTATCTCGCGAGTAATGCGTCGGTCCTTAATCTGCTCATCATCAGCTTCGACAGATATTTCTCCGTCACGCGTCCGCTTACCTATCGGGCCAAGAGGACCACCTTCAAAGCCTCCGTCATGATCGGTGAGTACATATTAAATTTATGAAATATGGATGGGATGAGACGTAAAAAAAATTGTTGGGAAATCTGAAATGTTTTTCCGTCTGTAGAAATTATAGAATTGTCAAAGGACTTTCGTGATTCAAGAAATTTTTGTCGAAATTGTCTCTCTTCGGAGATTTTGCTTTTAATTCTTAATTTATATGATGATGAGTCGTTCGTGTTCCAGATTATTTTATGTCATTTTTACGAGTATATCAACTTTAACATTGTTAAAATGTATTTGTAAGGTTGTATTTAAAAAATTATATATAAATGTTGTAACAACAAAAAACAGGGCGGATTAGAGTCAGCGTGGTAATACCTTAGTTGGTAATACCCTATAATGCTCAATTTCTTCACTTCCAGATAAATTGCGCCAAACCTCATCCAGGAGATATCTCCATTGTATTCTGGGAGATATCTCTTGGATAAAGTTATCTAGAGGTGAAGAAATTGGGCATAAGTCGGAAAGATACCTTAATTTTTTTTTATCGGCATACCCACTCTCACAAAAAAGAGGCATAATAATAGGTATGACAGATAGAGCGTTTTTATTATCGGATCCTAAGTATCACCAAAAAAATTTTGAACCTATTGTTAGTGCATTATTAACAAATAATTATCCTATTGATTTAATTTTTAATACTATTAATGCACGTTTAAAAATTCTCTTTCATAAAGGTACGATACAACAGAAAGAATCAAGTGACGAAATCAAGAGGGATTGTACTTCTTGGTTTGTACTACCTTATGTTCCAAAAATTTCAGACGAGTTTAAAAGAATTGGTAAAACCTTTAATACTAAATTAGCTTTTACTAACTTAAATTAAATAGTTTGATCAAGGGACATAAAGACATTCTCCCAAGAGAAAAAAGAAAAAATGTTTATAAAATTTCATGTAAATCTTGCGATGCCTCTTACGTCGGACAGACTAAAAGAAAACTAAAAACCAGATTGGCTGAGCACCGTAATCATATTAACCGGAACAGTAACAACCAATCAGTGATCACAGAACATCGTATTGAAGTTGGTCATGACTTCGATTGGGAGAACGTCGCGATTCTAGATGAAGAGCGTTTTCTTAATAAGCGTTTATTATCTGAATGCCTTTATATACTAATACAACAAAATAGTCTAAATTTACGCTCAAATACAGAAGGTGTACATCATACTTATATACAATTATTAAAAGACATCAAATAGTTATATGTTTTCGGTTATACAAAAATTTTTGTTTGTGTATTGACATTATCTTTTTCTTTTTATTTTCGTGATTTGACCTGATATGTCTTTCCTATTATATTAAATGTATTAGTCTCTCTCTCATGTTTCGTTCGAGCTGCGATCAACATGCATTTTTTGATTTGATACTTTTTAGTGAATATTAGTTGTAATTAGTTGATCCAATGTTGAGACGAATTCCTTTTATGTCTTGGGGTGAATCACTAGTTTTATTGTTAATTTGAATATTCTATTGTTCAATAGAATTATTTATAAGATAATTTTAATGTTTCGAATAGATTATAACATCAAATCTGCTAATCTGATGGTGATTTTTTCTTTGACATGAAAGGATTGATATTTTAAATTTGTTTTGCTGAAGATGGTTCCAAAGTGAACTGAAACATACTATTTTTAGAATAAAGATTATATTTTTGGAGCGAATTAAGATTGCGTCTTAATTACCGCGCTGACTCTCATTCGCCCTGTTTTTTGAAGTTTTTTGTTGTTTAATTTGAGAGAGTCCGTAAGAAGATTACATTTTAAATGTTGTAACTAATTATACTTGGTGCTCCTGGTATTTCAAAGAGAAGAAATACGCAGCACATGAATGGCCCAATCGTGTACTAAGGGTTAATTTGCGATTTAAAACTTTTATTTTTGCTTGAAAAATCAACAAATTTTTAAGTCATTCTTTTTTAAAAAGTTTGAGTAGACATTGATAAAATTTATATCTTTTTTATATATATATATATATATAAGACTTGATACATCGTTAAATGCCAACGTTTCGTGAACATTGTAGTATCGTGAACGTTATAGTTCGCTTGAACAGGGCGAGAAGCAATCTGATACTGATCAGTATAAGGTTGCTTCTCGCCCTGATAAGTGATCTGCAATATTCACGAAACGTTGGCATTTAATGACGTATCAAGTCACAGAGATAACCCATAAACTTCTCATAACTTCCTTAAAAAAAATATCCGTGGAAGCCTCAAAAGTATGCTTCAATACACCCACTAATCATAAAGTAACATTACATCAATGTTACATAGAAAGAAGTTTTACCAAAGTATCTAAAAATGATACAGATCTGAAGATAATTTGTTTGGACTATTAAAGTAATTATATACGCTTAAATTGTTGACTAGAATTAAAATTTGTTACGGCATTTAAATGTCAACGTTTAAATGTTCTGTTTTGATCCAACAAAATTATTTTCAGATTTGTATTTTTTGATGCTTCAGCAAAACCGTTTTTTCCATATATAATTTTCTACTCAACAATGTAATTGTCGTGCACACACACACACGCGCACACACACGCAATATGTGTTATATTTACAGTGAATGCAAAAAGTATTCGTATATAGAAAATATTTTATAAAAAAAACTTTATTTTTAAAAAGTAAATATTATCCAGCGAGAAATGAATTGATATCGAAACGGTATCGGTACAATAATTTCAACACCAATTTGACATTATTTCGACGTTTAATTGACAATCATTCCTTGTTGAGTAATTAACAATTTATTCGTAAAGAATAAAATAGACTGTATGTTTCTTAAAATTACATATACCAAAAAGATGTGTATTAATTATAGAAAATATATTATCTGAAAAATAAGCAAAAATTAAAAATTATATCGTTTGGATGCTCAAAAAGTATCCGTACAGTCGCAAAATTTAGCTTCTAAAATCAGGAATACATGCGAAGCTCATTTGTTTATGTTAGAACAGAATGTATTCATTGTATAAAATTGTTAATTAATGTTTATTTTCTATAAATAAGACTTTTTTTATAAAAAATTTCCTTGTACGAATACTTTTTGCTCTCACTGTATATTGTTGAGTGAGAGAGAGAGAGAGAGAGAAATTATAAATTGATATAATGTTACTTTATGTTTAGTAGATAAATCTAAATTGATATTCGCGATAAATAACCATCCAACGCTAATTCTTGATAGCTAATATTTAATGTCTTAAATTTTTAACAAACGTTTCGTCCTTAAACTAGGACCTTTTTAATATTAATATATAAAAACAAATCCTTCGAAAAGTCTGGATTCTCGAGTCTTTTACAGTCATACGTTTGTTAAAAAATAAAATAAAATTTGCAATAAATATAACCAAATGTTCGTTGAAAACTACTCCAGACAACAACATAATGATCGTTCCAGGATCCGCTTGGGGTATATCGCTGCTTCTTTGGCCACCCTGGATCTACGCGTGGCCGTACATCGAGGGTCAAAGGACTGTGCCGAAAGCCTCGTGCTACATCCAATTCATCGAGACGAATCATTACATCACCTTCGGCACGGCCATCGCCGCGTTTTATGTTCCTGTCATGATAATGACGTTCCTTTACTGGCGGATCTGGATGGAGACGAAGAAACGTCAGAAGGACCTGCCGAATTTGCAGGCTGGCAAGCAAGACGCGAGCAAGCGCAGCAACTCGAGGTGGTAACTAACGCTTTCAATTGTTTCTCTCTCCGAACTTGTCGTCGGCATGTCACCAAAAAAAAATGCAACCCTTGCACAAGAGAGATGGTAACACATTGCCCTAATTGGAAGATCAGCCCTTCCTTTGATTTTAGGGCATAGATGCACCGGTCGAATGAACGTTTGACACTATTAGATATCGTTAGATTAATTATAATTAATTTCTTTCTTACGTGAAGATATTATTTTAGTCGCATATTTATTTTTCCTTCCTCTCAGATATTATTGAATATCCTTTTATGATTATTTTTATAATTCTTGTTATTTTTTAATGTTTGCTCACGGTCTTTATAAAAATGTTTTTTTGATTTATGGATCTCGTTAAATATTTTCTATTCGTTTAATCTTAATTTGATAAAAATATTTTTTCTCTCGTCTGCGTAACTCCTTTTGACAACGCGAGTAATCGTGTTCCGCGAATATCGCGCAGTCGAAAGACTTAAGTACAGTTCGACGTACTTACTCTCATGTGTTTCCTTGTAGTGACGAGGTTTTAGATATGGAGGAGAGCAGAAGACAGCGAAGCGAATCGAGCACCGCCGACGACGTCTCGCACGCCACGCACATCGCGGTTTCCTACATTGATAAGCACTATCCGCAATACAAGAGCGTAAGTATAGTTGTAACCGTAAGTGCGAATGCGATTACACCAAGTGGAGTCACTTTGCACGTTTACCTATTTGCTTGTCTTTACAATTGTCGTTGATAGTTGGAACTTTATATTTACAATTCGCGCAGTTCAGGATCAGTAATTGTTATTACTTTGAAATCTCGTGTATCTCTTTGCATTTTGAAAGGAAAGTCGCCGATACTGACATAGATCTCCTAAAGATCTCCCTTATTTTTCAGAAACTAAACATTACGCTAATACGATAAAAATATCTATTTAGATGATTAAAGAAATAAAAATTCATAATTTATACATTTATTTGTGGCTTTTGAAAAAATTGTTTCTTTTAGCGTAAAGTATGACGTCTTGTACTTCGCGGGCGTGAATTTGAAAACACCCTGTATATTTTTAATAATATTACATATTTTTATATATTTGTAGTTTTCTAAATTTATTTATATTATTTCTTTCTTTGTTATATCTCAGACAGCACATAATATTTATAAAATGTTTACAAAATATTTGTAAGATTTATTTTGAATATTTCTGTCATCTTAGATTGTACAGATCAGAAAAATTTATTATACATATTATGAAATATGTAGTAAATGCTAGGAAAATATTTAATAAGACATTGTAATCTCAGTAAAAAGTATTTACCAGAAATATTTATTTATACTCATCATAAATATTATATAAGTATTTAGTCTGTATTCAGTCTGTATTTAAATGTTTTCGAATAATGTTTATAGAAAAATATCTATAAAATATTTTTTATATAATATTTAAAAAATAAATAATAAATATTTATAAATATTTATTATAAATATTCTGTGTCGTCTGGAATGATTTTATATAAAATCGTGGAACAACGTAAACTCTGATATATACATACTTGCTTGTAAGACAGATCATAAGCTAACTTAATCTTTACATTGCGTTATAGTGTCAAATATTTGGCCCTATCGGAGCTGAAGGCAAATCTGTATTTATGAGAAAACCTTTTAAAAAAAAAAACCGTCGCGTTGACAGTAATTTTTTTCTTTTATAGGATTAATACAATTTAAGTACAAAATACTTACAAATGAATGTACATAAAATTGTTTAGAATCTTTTTACTTCGATAAAAAACATTTTTATTGATTTATATATTTTAATATAAGCATAAAACATATAAATTATTTTCTATAAAAGAAAAAGAATAGGAATACGTGGCATTACTGCTTACTTTTGGGGTCCATTTCGTTAAACGTTTATCTTTGCTTATCTTGCAAAAAGTTAATTATTGCAAAATTGCAAACAGTGTTATAAAAACTGTTACATCATCTGGCGATACTTTTTAGTTTGTATTTATGTTTCTGAAGTTTTATTTTATTTTTAATTTTTGTTTAAGAAATATTGCTTAAAAACAGAATGGTACGTCGATATTAGCCACCTTCTTCTGCTATCAAGGAAAAATCAGAAAGGATTCGGTATTACATTATGACGCAAAGTTACGTTTCCATACGCAATCTTGGCTAGGTTAATCACTTTCTCGATTACAAGCTTATCCGTATTCGCTTTTTTGGGCGTGCAGCACAGGCCGTTTTCCTGGACCTGGCTGAAGATGTGGTGCATCGCATGGTGGCACAGCGGTCGAGACGACGAGGACGACGACGAGGAGATCGCTGGACCGGAGAGCAGCCACACCGGGGCCGGTTACGAAGACACGCTCACGCCGCTGTCGGCCGAGACGCCGCTTCCCAGCACGGTATCGCGATGTCCCTCCCTCAGCGCGATACAGGCCACGGGGATCGCCCTGGACAAGACCGCGATACAGCACGAGTTATACAAAAGGCCGGCACGGTCGGTCGACCTTAGAAATATTTCCAGCGATACCGTATGTGACGCTTCTATTCGTTTTTACTTGGGATCAACTTGAGAAAAAATAATATCTTTTAGGCTCGATTTCACAATATATGGTTATCCTAAAGACTAAAAGTAACCAAAAAATTTATGAATAAATTTTATTGATCAATCTATTGATAATCTTTAATCTTTAGGTAACCATATATTGTGAAAACGGGCCTTAATGTGTTTTCGAGGGGGGGAATCAGTATTATAACACGCGGCTATTAAAATTATTAGCAATGGCTGCGTTCAGCAGAGAAAGCAGCTTTGCAACTGTTGTAAAATTCTTCAATACGATTGGTCTTGCCCTTAATTCCTCATTGGATCTAAATGTATAAACCAATCATATTCAAGAATTTTACAACAGTTGCAAAGCTGCTTTTTCTGCTGAACGCAGACAATGGCTGTGTTCGGTAGAAAAAGCAATTTACAGCTATTGTAATGGTGAATTCGATTGGAAGTACTAATGCGCACTGGTGCATATTAAACCCGTTATAATTTAATTTGAGTATAATAACACTAATTTAATTTGAGTATAAAAAAAATATTTCGAATCAAGAAATACATATTTCGCCTAATAGTACAATAAAATATATTGAGTATTTCACGAATATTTAATCACGAGTATTTAATCGATTTATTTATAATAAACGTTTCTTGTGTAAAATTTTTTTATTGATCCACGTGTCAGCGAAATTATAGAAAATTTACTGAAATGTCACTGAAAATGAAACCAGTGCGCACTGAATGCGTCCGATTGAATTCGCTATAAGATTTTTTAATATAATTAAATTTTAAATCCATTTTATAATTGCGTAGGCGTAGTTACAAGAATTGACCAATCGAATATTAGGAAAATATTCGACTGTGATAGATCAATTCTTATAATACAATCACAACTACGCTTGTATGATTGTAAAATGGGCTTTAGATTCCGCAAAGAACTGTAAGTTTTTCAAAACGTAATAAGTATAATAATGCCTTAAGGAATTAATTAATTCATTAATTAATCGAATCAATTAATTAGTCACAGTCGAATGTGAGAAGAATACTCGATTTGTCAATTAATAAGGTTTAAGGCTTATTACACCTATTTCGGAACTAAGAGCAAGATTAATCATATTAAAGAATTTTACAATTACAATACTGCTTTTTTTTGCAAAATGCAGCCAAAGTTACATATTATTTATTTAGCTATTAAATATAACATTTGTTCTTGTTGGATGTCTTCCATTGGTTTAATCAGAACATTTTTTCCACTATAGTATACAATTTTTGTATTTAACGTGAAATAGATATATACTTATTTGAAATTTGTCGAAAGCGAGAAAGAAAGTTGCAGTACTAGTCCAGTGTAATAATAATAAACAAAGCTATTATCTTTGAGATTCCAATTGATTCGCACGAAGATCCATACTATGCGTGTGTCTCCTTGACTTCCAGATTTATACGATTCTAATCAAATTGCCGAGTAACGGCGGGAAATTCACCGAGGGGACGAGCATAAGGATGATACATGACGAGTCCATGTCGATCCAGTTGCACCCTATGATGGAAGACAGCGAGGATGACGGTGGTGTTGGCGGTAGCGGCAGTGGTGCCAGCAGGCTCTTCCGTCTCGGCGGCGGGTCCGTGTCGAGCCCATCGACGGTGACGATGAGGAGGCCATCGCAGATGCCGGACATCAGGATACCGTTGAACGCGAAGAACATACCGAAGGTGCTGACTGGCAAGGGTATATTGAACAAGCAGCCGAACAAGAAGAAGAAGAAGATCGTGGAAAAGAAGGCCGATCGTAAGGCCGCGAAAACGCTGTCAGCCATCCTGCTGGCATTCATTATCACGTGGACCCCGTACAACATCTTGGTACTCCTCAAGTCCATCACCGCCTGCTCGTGGTACATACCTCAGGTGCTGTGGGACTTTGTTTATTACCTTTGTTACATTAACAGTACTGTGAACCCGATGTGCTACGCGCTGGGCAACGCAGCTTTCCGCAGAACCTACGTGAGGATTCTCAAGTGTAAGTGGCAGAGCAGGAACCGCGGTACCGGTGCGGTCGATCGTGGATGACATCAGTAACCCATCGATGCGTACTTCGATCTTTTCGCATCGAGGAGGGGAACAGTCTCCTCTCCATGCTTCCGATATCAGCACACTACAGAATTGGAAGTCAACGACCACGCGCGCGCGCGTGTGCATACACACGTACACACATATGCATATACCGAAACAATGCTATACTGTTATTATTATTATTATTATTATTACTACTCTACTATTATTATCATTACTATTATTATTGTTATATCGCCGTTTACTTTTCCTCCGTTTTACGCGTTTCTCAGATCGTACGAAGAAGCGGAAGCGAGGAGACCGGCGACTGCCGCGAGTAAGTTTGGCGCTCGTGACTGCCAAACTTCCCTGTTCCTAGCGATATCGCTCGTCGTTACGGGTATGTCCGGTCGTGTGGTCCACACATCTTTCGGGCTCACTCTCTCCGGATCGTGCGCGACGTTTAATATCCCATCAGCCACTCACGCTATCGTCACGTAGATGAAGAAAGACTACCGGGCGTTTTTTTTTCTGCCCAAGGAACACACCAGGCGTGAGAAAGACAAAATGACTTTATACTGACTTCGTGAGAGTCGAGTGATGATTTTTTGTTACAAAATTCCACCGTTTGACATTAAATATTAAAATAGAGTTCCTTGGGTGAACGATTCTCCGTCCAAGGAACACACCAGGCATGAGAAAGTCAAACTGACTTTATTTTGACTTCATAAAAGTCAAAGCGATGATTTTTTTACTACAAAGTTTGACTCTTTATTGACATTAAGAGTCAAAATAAAGTGTTTTTTTTTTTTAATTTTGTATTGACTTTTACGTGTTCCTTGGATACTGAATAAGAGATTAATCCCCCGACGACCGCGTCGTTTTCGCGCGCTGACCGATCGCGTGCATTTTTCAGTGAAAATTCTATTAATCGTCAGTAATTACGCGGATAACTCGGTTATCCCCCGACGTAACATCGGAGTTTAATGCTCTCTCGAACGTAATTGTATCATTTCGTAATTGCATCGACGTCCATTAACGCATAAAAAGAATTAATCTCGAACTAATGTATTCTTGTCGGGGGGTTAATGACGTGACACCGGATGACGTGAACGGGTCCCCATCCTCGCCTAAAGAATATATGGGGATTGTTTGTTCACAATATTCTCGAATAATCTCGAATTTCGACGATACTGATATCGATCGTCTATATCGAGACGCGTGAATATTTAATGAGGCAGTGGTTCTTAAGCTTTTTTGAGTCGCAAACTCTTGGGGGGGAAACCGAGGGTTCTCAGCTTGATTATTATTTCAGTACTTCAACAGTCGTTCGCCGAAATCTTTTCATTGTAATGAAAATTGACATGGGATGACAGTATGTCAGAAACTTGGGAAATTACGAGAGAATCGTGAGGGAGGAAGAATAGGGGATGCGGACTCGTTCGTGTTGGAACGGAAAGTGCGTGACGGGGCCGTTAACACACTAGTCAAAACGTACGCAGCTCCGGTCTCCAAGTTTCGCAGAGAAGTAACGCGATGTGGATACTGCCATGAATTTAACATCTTTATTAATACCTCTCGAATATCGCACAAGTCGCGCGAGTTCGGAATTATATATTGCGTATCCGGTGCCCTCAGGACTCCCCCGAGGAGTACTGGTACCTTCCTCCCCCCCTCGGTGCGATCGTCACCGTCGTCGCCGTGGTACCGGAGGCATCGCGCTGCCCTTGAGAACTTCCCTTCGGGAGAAAAAAGGGAAAATGGAGTGACGGCGGTGACGAGTAGCACCGGGGAGAGTAGACGAGAAGAAAGAAAGCTAAGTCGCACAACAACTTATTTAAGTAAAAAAAATATATATATATATATATCGAAAGGATAACGATAATCTTCTGTACGCGCAGAATCGCGACTGCAAACACTCGATGTAAATTTTACGACGTAGCGAAGTGTAAAACTGTAAATGAATGTGTTTAAATATAATAATGCTGGGGAGGGGGGGGGGGGGAAAAAAAGAGAGAGAGAGAGAGAGAGAGAGAGGAGAGCGGGAGATTTAACGCTAAATCGAATTCTTCCGTAAAACTAAAATAATACATTCTAATAATACGTGCCAAAAGAAGCTTTAAAAGATTATACCAAGATTATACGACGTGAGAGAAAGAGAGACGAGGCGGAGCGAAAGGGAGGAATGTCGTAGCGCACTCTCGATGCTATTAAGAAATGAGATACCAAAAAAATATATAGTTAATAAAGCAGAAAGAAATTAAATAAAATAAATAAAATAAAAGCACTGTGTCGAGCGATACACTTTAGCGATCGAAGGCTCGTAAAGTAATCAAAGTCAACCGTACGCGCGCCGACATGCCTATAGTGACCTCAAGACTGCGAGACTCTTCATTTCCATCCTTGCGATCATCTAATTATATAATACCTCGCGCACACATCTCTCGATTGTACATGTAGAGAAAGAAGATGTATTCTTTTATGTAAGTGTTCCTTTTCTCTAAAAAGAAGAGATTTTACTCTTAAAGTTCTGCCACTCTTGAAAAGGAATGGTAGAATTTTCACTCCATTGGAGTGGAGAGTTCACTTCGAAGAATTTAGAGAGTTGGGTAGCTCCTTCTTTTTTGTTTCCATAAGTCATACGTGTTCATGTGAATGTTAAAGTCGATCCAAACCGATTCTTGGCTAATTTCCACTTGCGGAAACAAGAGGAATGCACTCTCGTCTTTCGCGTATCTCGTTCACTCGTCACTCGAAGAAGCAAGAAACATAATCGCTGCTCGAACAAGTGCGACAGCGACGTTCCTATGTACGCGTCGGCACGCGTGCGTTTGTACCTTGTACAAAATACCCACGCACACTAAACACGCACTCTCGCGCGATCAGCATACACATATATACACGGTGCAGTGTCGCGGATAGTACGTACTCGCGGGGATGCATCTACGGGGATGAGAAGCCCGTCGAAAGAGTCACGCGCCTCCTTTTCGTCCAGTGTTCTTAGAAAGTTCCCAAAAAATTCTTGGGAAAAATAGTGTTTTTTACATTTTTAGTGCCATATTTTTTTTTAGAAGTTATTATCTTTTATGTCAATGGTTTTAAAGCTTTTAAGATTCATTTCACTCTTAAGTGTTCCAATAAAGTAAGTAATTCAGTAATAAAATCCGTTGTCACCGTTTATGAGATTTCTGTGAAAGATTTCTTTTTGTTAAACGTTGGATGGTAATAAAGAAGAAGCCAATTACGAGTAATGTTAAGATCCAGACATAAAGAACAGGATAAAGAATACAAAATTGAACGTAAAGAATTAGTAATAAAGCCGACGATACGATTTTTCGTTCTACTCTGACGTTTTCCTTATGATTAATTCCATTTTTCTGTTCACCGTGTCTGATCATTTACTTTATGAATGAAGAATGTTTGCTTGGTCAAATGCATTTTCAAAGTTGTATACGATTACAAGTTGTGTATCTACAGCTTTTATTAAATTTTTTAAAAAACGGAAAAGAATCAGATTTTTTCCGAAAATTAAGAATTTTTTAAGAAACTTAAGAACACTTAAGCCGCGATGATCTGAGCGAGAAGAGATCGCGCGATTCTCGACTGGATCCTGTATATGTAGATCGGCGAGAAAAGAACTCGACGACAGAAATGTTGATCACGAACGAACCTAGGTACATCGGGTGGACGCGACGGTAGTTACGTATCGGCAGTGTAATTAACGAGTACAATTAATCAATGATTTCGATCTATTATTCGGGTACTTTTGATACGAGGATTCGCGCTGATCGATTTAGAGACCATTATATACGCGAGCGATTACACCGATAAACTGTAAACACGATTTCTGTTTCCCGAAGTGCGACTAAGCAATGTCGAGTTGTTTTATATAACGAATTTAAAAGCATTCTTCCTCCCATAGATGTGTTAAAGAATTTCGAGAAGAATCTCCCAATAATAATTAAGGTGTTATAAGCATATAATGATCGTTTGTTAGCTGTAAATCTTTAGTGAAGGAGGCAATGCGGGATGTCATACGTGAGAAAACGAAACCTATTTTGTAACTCTTAACGACTGTAATAATATCGTTACAGTCATTAAGAATGATAGAATCGGGTTAAAAGTTAATTTAAAAAAAAAAAAGGAGAAAGACGTATATGAATATCCGTATAATCTCTCGCGTTTTCTGGCATTTTTGAGCGCCGCCGAACATACGGGGGAAGGAAATAGCGTAAGACTCGGTGATATTTTTTTACCTTTATAGTCGATCTCGCGCGATTCGATTTTGCATGACGCGAACCTAATCGCGAACGAATCGCGTTGATATTAAAATGCGACGGTAAACGCGAATGAGGCGAGTGAACACAATGATGTTCGACGTTTTCGTTGCGCTTGCATTTCTTCGTAACGCAAGAGGTGTCGAGAGATGATGAACCCAAACAGAAATAAGCAAGTCATCATAACATCAAAATGATGTCAAAATGATTCCAAAATGATTATTAAAAGTCCTTTTTTCATCATTTACGATTCATTTTAACGTCATTCTGAGTTGTTCTGCTTGATTCGTGATTTGTTCTGCTTGGGAATCGCGGAATCATTTCGAAACAAGAATTTTAGGCTTATAGCGTTTTTGTCAAATTCGCGATTTCGCGAGCCTGAGAGCATTGAAATTCGAGGAGAAATTCAAGACTCTAGAGAATTGCGTTTCTGAGAAAATTATTGTAGCAATTTGCGAGAGAGTCGATGACGTTTCAAAGACTTCGAAACTTTGATATTTTGGCGCAGATAGAATAAAGTCGGAATTTAGAGATCTGAAATCAGGGAGACTCTGCGCGTGAATTTTTGAGAAAAGGGAGAATATACATGTCGAATAGTGGAAATTTATTCAAAAGATGAGCGCACTGAGGGATTGATCGTGTCGAAAGATTCGTCTTGCTTTCGATCTAAACGAAATTTTTAAAAATGGTATATTATATTTGTATTGTATTTCTGGGAAAGTAAATGTTTAAAATGTAAGATTATTAATTAATATGGCAATTAGTATGACAAGAATATTTGTGGTATTTTAAATAGAAAAGCGAGTGTATGGTTGTTCTGTGCTATATAAAAAATTGTGTTTTTTTTTCCTAAAGAAGTGTCGGAAAATTCGTAACTTTGGGGATATATTCTAGAATC